CCCACCTCTTGGCAATTGCCGTGGCCCCTGGTCATCATATTGGGACCAAAAGTCCTGCCCTCTAACCCCTGGCCTTTGCCACCAGAAGTCCCTGCTGCTGGCTGGGCCCTTCTGCCCATGAGGGTGGGAGCGAGGCACAATAGGGTATGTTGGTGGAGTGTGTACACGTGGGCACCTTGCTTCCACCCTTGTGGGCGGAAGGGCTGGGCAGGGTGCAGTTAGTTGGTGGGTGCTGTGGGCCGGATGAAAGTGCCTGGTGGGCCAGATTTGGCCCGTGGGCCTTATTTTGCCCACCCCTTTGTTAGTCATTTTGAAGAGCTTCATTTTCAGTCACAGAGATGTCTTTAAGATACAGTGAAAGCTGTGTTTCTGGTAGGGAGCATCTTGACTTAATGATGTACTTGAAGATAACTCCAACCCTTGTTATAATTGTTTGCTTTGTATTTGAGCACTAAACCCTTAAGTGCCCAAGTTGGATGGCTGAGAATGGGTTGGATTATATGGGCAATAATCAAGTGTGCCTTCTAAGGAACAGAGGCAAAATTGCTTTAGTGGGTAATTCCTGCTCTCATGGGGCTCTGTCCATCTCCGCATTTATTCTTATGCTATTTGGGTACCTCTGAAAGATAAAATGCCCAGTCAGTGCCATTGGTAAAATAAGATCTCTAGTCTAAACAGATTTAGATCGGATTTATGGATCACAGCTGTGTAGTGATCGTCATCAAAGAGTCGCTTATTCTCTAATTTGGTGGGGGGCAACCTTTTGGGTTAGTGTGCCACAAATTAGCCCTTCATCCTTTCCTAGGGCCACTGTGATCCCTTTCCCTGCATTATCTGCTGCTTTGCTTTCTGTTCACTGTCCTGTGCTCCCTGATTGATCTGCTGCTTTTGCTTTCTGTTGCCTTCCCTGTATTTCCTGCCTGATTTGCTGCTTTACTTTCTGCTCCATCTGCTACCTGTCCTCTCCCCAGTCTACAACCTGCCACATGCACAAGCTGCCTGTGGTACATGTGGCACCCACCAGACTGCAGGTTGGCCACCCTGTTCCACCTTCCTGTTTTATTTGGTGCAACAGGACGAGAGTTCCTGTAATTGGTAAGAATTACACTTATATTTGAAGCATTTTTTTTTCTTTCTCTCTAGTTTCAGGACCATGTGAAGACTTGTGGCAAATGTAAAGTGCCTTGCAGATTTCAGGTTGTTGGATGCGCTGACATGGTAAGGGCCCATTTCTGCCCATTGATATTGGCACCTGTCTTTATTGCAGTGTTAGCTTAAGATAAATCCTAACCATTGCCCCAACCCTACTCCTGTCCACAAGCAAAACTCTCTAACTCCAGCTAAGTGATACTTTAAACTCAAGGTTCAAGCTGGGCCAGTAGGCTCAGAGCTGCTGCTGCTTAAACTAATAATGTAGTAAGGCAACATCTTGCATCAAAGATTGTTTCTCTCCAGTTTCACCCAGATGTGGCTATATTGAGAGAAATAACTGATTTGACACTGTCAAATTTGATACTATCTCTCACCCTATCCTCATTAGGAAGCTGGGGGACTGTGGCGTAGACACCCATACAGTCCAATGGGTCGCCAACTGGTTAGAGAGTCGCACCCAGAGGGTGGTAGTGGATGGGTCCTTCTCGACCTGGAAGGACGTGGGAAGTGGGGTCCCACAGGGCTCGGTCCTTGGGCCCGC